ACTTCATCTTCGAGTTCATTTTCGTTTAGATTATACGAGTCTGAAAACCAAATGCAACGTGCAGCGCGGTCTTATGAAGAGTATCTGAGAGAATATCAAGAATTAGAGGTACAGAGTCCTCTGACAGCTTTTCTTCTGATTTCAACTTTATGCAACTATCATTCGAGGAAAGCGAAAGCGAAAATGTAGTCTACTGTGTACAGTTCCTCGCCAAACATTACCTTGAACAACGTGATGTAGAAAAAGCCATCTATTATGGACAAAAATGTCTTGAGCATGACTCTGTAAGTCAATCAGCCTGTTATTTGCTAATCAAAGCTTTTCATATCTTGACAGATATCGGAAGAAGGTCGGTTTGTTTTGCGTGCAGCTGAAGCGATGAAAGACGATATGGACAAGCAGAAGAATGACGAAGCTCCTATCGAAGATTCCTTTACCACCACCGGATTCGACATTACTCGTCCATCGACCAGGTATTGTATATAGATCCATAAGTGTATTCTATAATCAAGAATCTGCATTGGCTTCAAGCGCTCCGTATTCAAATATGGTTCTTTTAGCATGGGTGGTGACGATTCAGAGATGATGATTTCCGAAGGAGAAGGGGATGAGTCTTTCTAGTAACCCATGTTGACAGCGATGGGGAGGGAGGACAGTGCCACTTTCTGATGCTGATTTGCACGGATAAGAGACTGAATAGCATGACACGATCGGAGCCTAATTATGATAGCCTTGTTACTGAGAGATTTGTTAAGATCGGCTTTGCTCAAAGTTTGATGTATTGTTTACTAATTTCTACATAATGAAGATGAATTTGATTTATCGTACAATGCATCGGAAGACTCTTACAAATAGTTACTGTGTTACCAGTCAGTTACGACAGGTAAGCATTCAAAATGCTGGATTTGAGATCTGGTTCTAATCGCGTTTGATATGCAAGGTGCTCCAGGTCTGACACTAAATGTTTTGGCGAAGTACAGATTGTTTGGAGAGTTCTTGGTCACGAATACCTTGATATGAATTTTGCCAGACTTTTTCCCTCTTTTTATACTAAAGGACCCAAAAACAACAAAAATCAAATTGTTTTTCTTTCTGTCCTAAATTTCATGTGTCGGGAAACTTTTACAACTTCAATCATGGATGAAAGGGGTATTGAC